ACATGAATGTTGCTATTGCTTAACAAAATTGAGCTTTAGCTACATTTTTTAAGTAAATGTTGCTAATGTTGCCTTTTTGCAACTTTTTTTTAGTGTTGCCGTATATTCTTTCGCAATGTTTAAAAAACGTTGCCGTAAACCTTTCGCAACGTTTTTTAAACGTTGCCGTATCCCTTCCCTCTTTTGCAATACTGCACTTTGCAACACTTGGAAAAACGCTGCAAAAGGGCATTTGCAGCGTTTTTTGGCCGCTGCAAAAGCCCTTTTTTGATGTAGTGATGGTTCGGTACTTTTTTTTTAAATCTAATCAATTTCAATTCATTAAGTACTGGGAAAAATCTATTTACAAATTATTTCGTTTTCAAGTGAGTCTAAATACGCACACGGAAAGGACTGAATTTTAATTATAGATCGAAGTATTATTTCGTCTCATGTGCTTCTCACAAAGATAAGTCGTGTTGTGGAGTGTTGGGCTTGAAGATGATAAAATAGGGTCCAAAATAGAAAAAAAGGTGAATTGACGGCGTTGGACAGACACCCGCTTATAGCTTGAGCGATGGCCATGGGAGCAAAATTGGATCATAGAGTTCGTCGCGCGCCTGTCGCCCACTTCTCCCTCAAGCGATGGGCCGCGGATTTTTTTTCCTTCTTTTTCAGGTTTTACACGATTTTCAACCTAGTTTCCATATTTAGGTTAATTCTAGGGTTTGGACATGTCTCCTATAAATAGAAAACTCTTCATTCAGTTTAGATGAGTAGAAATGGGAGAAGTTGAATTTTCTCCCCATTGGTTGTTATTAATAAAATATTTGATTCTTCTGCAAATTTCATATTCTTGTTTATTTTCCTTTAAATATTGTTCTTGTTTATTAATTTGTGCGATTTATACTTCATATCGCCTCCTCGAATTCCTAACATTTCTAATGAAATTCAAATTCATTTGGTTGAAAAAATTAGTATTCATGACGTAAAACTGAGTAATAAATCTATTAGTTGTCTTATCATATGACATTCAACGTAATATTTACCCATTAATTGAAGGTAAAAAAAGAAAAATCGATTAATTATCAATTCGTAATCAAAATTTCAAATCACATCTAACCTCTCGTGTCAATTCAAACAATAATGTACAATAAAAGTCGAGAGAAACGCCAAAGGGGGTGTCCTCAACTCCACGGCACATTGACACCATCTTGTTTTTACCCCCTTTTTTCAATCAAATTCTTACTCATTTTTCTATTGTTTATACTTTCGAAATAATAGAAAAAGAAAATACTTATCCGAACCTCGTTTTTTATCATCTGAACAATTGAAATCCAAAAAATAACGTCTTCAGTTAAATATCAAAAGAAAAAACCATCTTCATCATTGAAGTTTAACCAAACAAATTCACATTGAAAATGACCAATTAAACTATTTTAAAAACTTTTGAGGTCTAACTTGAGATTTGAGATCAACATCCAAGAACTAAAATGACTTCTACAAAATCGTTGACAAAAAAAGCCTCGAGTTTGGGATGACATTTGGCAATGAGCTAAGGTGAATCTGTTTGGTCGTTAGACACCTCGATTTGGTCATGTTGACAAACAAGGCTCGATTTGGTCTCGACTCATTTTCTATCTTTGTAATGAATTAATAAAATAAGTCAAAATATGACCTGTTCCATGAGCTCAAGATGAGCTAGCTCGTGAGCCTCATTAGTGGAGCCAGCCCGGCTTGTGCATTTCTTTTTGAGCTTCGTTCAACCTATGACTCTTCTAAATACTAACTCGAGCTATCAACAAATTGAATCATCCAGACAAGCCCAACCCGATACATTTCGATTTTTTTGCCACCTCTATTTCAAGCCCATCTTTAAGTGTCACAGTGAAGTCAACTAGAAGAAGCCCAGCCAAGCCCAATAAGCATGTCCAGTCCCATTTTGTTTTCACTGGCTCATGCCCTCAAAGCATAACACGTGGCGATTTGTTAGTTAAAGTCAAAAGTCAAGCAAAACGCGCCAAAAGATCGCCAGCTTAACGGTGCGAATTAAAGGCGCGAATCGCCGATTCGAACCTGATTAGATACCCACTCAATAACTATTTTTAACCAAAAAGAATGAAAAAAAAGTCCACCATCCACCAACTAAAAATCAGAAAACTATTACAAAAAATATAAAAATATATTTAAAACTGGATCGCCAAAATTGAAACTAATTATGAAAATCGCTTATCTATAATATATTAAATATCGCATGAAGTGAAAATTATTTTTTGGACGATTTTATTCATACTACAATTTAATTATTTTAATAGTACTTTACTTTTTCGTTTTTCAATATATATTTGATTGAATATTAATTATTAAACATGCACGCAAATAATGTATATACATTTAAACGAAGAGAATATAAGTGAACCAACATGAAATTTAATTAATTTGAGTTAATAGATATAGAAAAATAATAATTTATATAAACAAAGAGTATGTACATGACCAAACATAAAATTTAATTAATTTGAATTAATGAATATAGAAAAAAATAATTTATATACATTTAAACAAATGACGTTATATCATAAATTAAATCAATAATATTGAAATTAAATAAGTGTCCATGAATTTGAATAATTTATCTACTCTTATAATAATTGAATAGTTCCCAAATTACATGATATTTAATAATTTATATACTCTA